TCAAGCCTGCCTGTCTAAGGACATTCCATGAGCTCCACCACCCTTGCACCCCACACTGCTCCCAGGTTAGATGCGAAAGGGGAATGCCATGGACCCTTCACCATTGACGGTGGAGCCAGTGTTACCCTGGGGGGTCTGCCAGGGTGCCCCCCCGCCTGCTGCAAGAGCTTCTGGCAGGGAGGGCAGGAGATAGCCCCTCTCCCGCTGCAAAGGGCCATGGGCTCCCACAGCGGACCACAACCAGGCATATATGTCACACTTAAACTGCTTTTAATCAAATCTTGCTGTGAAAGCAGCAAAGGGAGTCAGCCATAATCTTTGTTAGTAGGTTGAACTCAGAATTATTTGAAATGAGTGCTGGTATACAAGCCAGATACCTTTCAATATCAAAAGCATAGCCATAATATATCAGGTATCACTTTATGGGGTGAGTTTTAAGTACGTTCTACATGTTGAATCACATATTCACATACTGAAATGGACAGCATATTTAATGACTAGCCCAGGTGGCTACTGTAGATTTTGGTTTAAAACAAGATTGCCAAGACCAAAACTTATTTGCCAAAATGGAAGTCTCTTCAGGTGCTCCCTTCATATCACTTCAGCTGCCCACCATTACCAAAGCAGAAGATTGTCATATATAAGATACATATTTATACAAACTCACTGACTGTTTTTTTCCATCTGTACTCTGCAGTATAGATGGTCTATATTTGGAGAGACTCCAGACCAAAAGAAATGAATATTGTTTTGATCCCATAAGCTGAAACCAAAAAAATTCTGTTTATACCGGGTCCAAGATTGCTATGCGCATATTAGAAACACAAATCAAACGTCCCCAAAGTGGTAAACAAGCAACCAGAATGTTACCAAATAGAATCTAGCATAACCAGTTAGATACTCTATTTGTCTGGTAGTTCCACAAGTATGTTATAAGTCTATACCCCACAATTCATAAGTACTTTCAGGTAAACCAGCAGGTATTAAACAGCTACAAGACATGTGAAGCTACACTTTTTTAATGGGGTGATGCTTTGAGAATTTAATTTTTAATTTCATTAAAATATTTCACTACTTTTAAATTACTTT